AGACATGTCACAGGGGCAGTAATAGCCCCTGCCCCAAAAAAGAACAGTATCTCCATGTTTGTGTGCCAGTTGCACAGCTTCTCATGACCCTCCTACATGTTTCTGTGCCACAAAGGTCTTCCTATGTCAGCAATACTTCTGAATTATTTGTTGAGATGGCCCCGTCCCACCCTGAGCAAGGGTGCTCTCTGTCACCTGTAGCCAGGGAAGTATCTGTATTACGCTGCTTTGTGCTACTTGTACATGATGGTGTCTTTGTGGCTTCCAGACCTGGGAACGTCTCTTTGTTTTGGAGCTATTTAATGGGCATATTCCCTGTGTCAGATGTAGTTAAGGTTGTTCCTGTGTCCTCTGGCACAGCATTTCCTTGTTATCTGTCAGGATACTTCTGGGACACCCGCGGAGCATTTCTGTGTCTTGTGTCGAAGGTTTACACTGAACATTGGCTGTGTGCGCTCCCTCAGCAGCGCCTCGGGAGGAGAGATGTTTCCTGTCACATGTGCAAGGCCAGTCCTGATCACGCTGACAGCAACTGTGTGCTTTTGTGAGGGACACAGTGACCGAGGCCATGGTTCATCTCTCAAGCTGTTTGTTAAGATCCTTCTGATTTAAGAGAGGTGTCCCCGTGTCACAGAACCACAGAGTTTCCCTCGCCAGTAAAAAGGGAACTGGGAGAGGTGATGATGCTTCCTAACGGTACAGCTGGCGCAGTTACCTAGGTGGCATCCCCAGACTCATCCTGCAGCTGAAGCCTTGCTTCACCACAGCACCCCTTCCAAGAGCTGCTTTCTTAGCAAATCCCCATCCCTCAAGCTTTTACTCCTAGCACTGTTCTTCATCAGTTGAAGTGACTGTTGCCCACCACAGTGCCATTCCTCATGGGATCTGCTAGTCTTTCCCAACTCAAATTTTCCCCATGAGCCCTCCCTTCGCTTTCACCCACAGCCCTTTGATGGACCCCATCTCTTCCCCAAAGTCCTCTCTGCTCCTTACTGACATGTTTGCTCCTACCCACGCAATTGTCAGCTCCTGTACTTTTTGTATTACAGTATTTGAGGCTTCTCCCGACAGTCCAGCTCACAAAGTCATATGCTTAGATGAGAATTGCAACTTTGATCTAAAACCAGAGATAAGTGTCTGTCCCTTGCAGTTTCAGGGAAAAAAATGAAAACGCATCCTCTATAGGTTTTGACACCAGAAAACAAACACAGGGGATTTACAACCCTTTGGTTTTGAAGAAAATATAATGATCTGTGACTGTGAATGTCTCGGTGTTAGCAACACAAGACATATAAATCTGTCTTTCAGGATCATCTCTGTGAAACTTTCGCCTCTTCATAAGTAAAATCCATATGCACAGCTCATATTATTGCTCTGTGAAGTTTGGGATTTGTGTGCCCTACCATTATTAAGTCCGGTACTACTGCAAGCTGTTTAGACAAGGTCCACCTCGAGGTAGCCTACAGGCCTCTGTCAAAAGTTTCTTTTCTTTTGTAGATTTTAAAACCTAGGCCATGGCAGAGTGCCCCCCAGCACATCCAGAACTCCCACCCAAACTAAAGCATTGCCTTTCTCCTTACAACTTTTCCACCTCTCCCTATCTGTTTGCTTGCTTTGATCATTCTGATTTCTTATCTAACCCTGTTCCTTCCCTTTCTCCTCCCTTCATCCTTAACTTTCATTTCCCACTGACTATACAGGTCCTTTCTTATCAGCTGGTCCTGAGTTTCCCAAATACACATACGCACTTACGTGCGTGCACACACACACGCGCGCGCTGACACAAATAAATAAATAAATAAAAAGGTCAGTGAGCAGAGCAGCAATAACCCCTAAAACAGTACTATCAGAGGGACATGATTGATCAATTGAATTCCATAGCGGCTGAAAAATGTGGGATTAAGTAGTGTATTATACGCACAATGAGTTGAGGCATGATGTTCATTTCAAGTTCATTTCGCCAGCCCTCTGCCACCAGATCAGGCAATCAATAGGGGCAGCAGATATCATATATCACCTCTCTCCGTGCTAGGGAGAGAGCACCATAATCTCTCGCAAATTTAGAGTGACAGATTTGTCAAGATCTGAAGGGCCCCTGAATAAATGAAGGAAAAGAGACTCCTACAGCGACTTGGGAAAGCTGTGGTTTCAGCTTCTTCACACAAAGGCATGGCCTGTGCACACAGGGGAGACACGTGTGCACAGGGCTCTGCAGGCAGACAGGAATTGCAAACACATGTGCATATGTGCACTAATCTGTGTAACCACCCAGGGCAACTCGCTAAGAGTAAAATCCGGTTTAATAGCAATCAATGGAAGTTTTACCGTATATGTGAACACCCATCCACTCACACCAAACACCATGCACAATGTAGGGCTGCCATCCTCGAAAATCAAATATAGCCTAAACCAGCCGCTGCAGACGGCTGCTCAGGCATGTACGGTGATGCAGAATCTAAAGAATAGCAGAATAATGACCTGCAAAAATACCCACGTGTATTAGCATCACGGTGTGCACAGTCATGCACACTGACTGACACACGTGGAAAAATCCTCAAAGGCAAACAGTTTCACAGGCTGCAGACAGGTTGAGACAAGCGCTGATACAGAAACACACATTTTTTTTCCAAGCCTGGACCCAGGAGTTCTGTGCCAGCTTTCTGCAGGGAGGACCAGAGAGAAGTGCCTACTGGAATTGGGAGCATGAGCCTCGAGCTACCCTAGTCCTCCTGAAAGCCACCCCCTGCAGTAACAGCTCAGTCCATCTAAAACACGAAGACTGCACTGACACACACAGTGTGCAGTCCACCAAGCCTAGTCTTTGCTTTGCTTTCTCGTAGTCAAATCTGCAATGAACTCTGGCTTTCAGGAACTTGAGAATTTTCCCTTGTGTGAAAAAGCCTGAGGAGAGGAGAAAATGCCAGGGATCAGTGCCAGTAAACAGCCCTGCTCTGGCTAGGGGTGGAAAAGAGAGAGAGAAGGGGCTGCTCAAGGGAAGGCTGCTGGCTGGGACAAATCAATATGTAATATTTTCTATGGTCTTGCGAGTGGTACTGTACTACGTTACTGTATATAATGTACTATTGATTATATCATATCATATAATCACCTATAAACGGATATATCTCATAGCCAGAAGGCAGCAGGCTCAGTTACAACTGAGTGGGCCACCAGTTGGGCATTAACTGTGCCAGGAAAATACCCATCTTGGCACCATCCACGAGCTAAAAGATGAAGCGGTGGAGTGGCATGGTTCTGGCCGTTGCACAGTGAATGCCACTCCAGGCTCCTGGGAGCATCGTCTGCCCATGAGCACACTCGCAATCGCATGGAGGAGGGAAAAGGTCTATACAGATCCCTCAATCACTTTCTTGACAGACAGCAAGTTTCTGAGATTCACAGACTGGAAGCCACCAAGAAAGGCTGAAGTATGAGGAATAATAGTGAAAAAGCAGGAAGGTAATCACAGCATAAGAGGGAGAACCTGATCTTAGGTTATACAGAGTGGTAAGACAGTCAGACTTGTGTCTGATGAAGCACAGTAGGTAGAGATTCAGCATGGAGGGTATGGAGGTGTATCAGCATGGATGAGACAGGGGATTATAACCAGTCTCACCAAAGTTAGGCTGAGAAGTGACAGTGGAAAGATACTCAGCACAGTTGGAGAAGATTATAATGAGCAGACTTGCCTCAGATGAGATGAGGGATTATGACAAAGGAAGATTCACTTCAGCTGGGACAGGAGGTTGTAACAGACAGACTCACCTTGGATGTGACAGATGCTAATAGCAGGAAACTCACTCACTTCAGATAAAAAGGGGTTATAACCGAGATAAATGCACCTCATTTGAGTTGGGGGATAACAGGGGAAAAAAAACCAAAACCAGGTGGGTGATAAGATGGTTTATCACAGGGAAAGATTCACTTTGGATGGGGCAGGGCATTTATAATGGACTCACCTCGGAGGGGATGAGTGGGCTGTGAGAGATGTGGCATGGCACAACAGAGATAGAGACACCTGGAACGTGGCAGGAGGCACTGCAGTGAGATTGGACTGTGTCAGAGGGCTGTTGCAGGGACAGAGATGCACTTCTGGCAATGCTTCTACCAGAAAAAGGCTTTTATCCTAGTAAGAACAAAGGATTACCAGGAAGGCCGATTCCCACTGAGTAGGGCTAGGTTTTGTAATACAGTAATTCATTTTGGATAGGAAGAGGGACCGACACAGACAAAGATTCATCTCATTTTGGACAGAGTTTTATAACAGAGATATGGGTTGTGATAAATCATGAGCTGCATGTAGGAAAATGGGACAGAGATCATAACAGAAACCAACGTATGTTGGATGGGACAGACACTCCACAGGGAGAGACTTGTCTCTGGTGAAACATGGAGTCAGAAACAGGATCATTCCTGTTATCTGAGGGGGATGAAAGACTCATCTGGGGCATGACAGGACAAGATCAGATGAGAAGGAAATTATAACAGATACATAACTTCTATTGGGACTGGGGAGCTACAACAGAGACTGACTCCCTTCCAAGCTGTAAGAAAGCCCTTTCTCCATTCCAGACTTCCTCAGCCCTCTCCAGTACAGGTCCATCCTCAGCACTCTAGTTTCTCCGTGAGCTACCTCTCCAGTAGCCTTCTAGCGATGCTAATCGCTGTGCTTTGCTCCCATTTTATGCTCAGCAATGAGATTTGGCAATTTTTAACACTGAAAATCAGCGGAACCGAAACTCATCTCTGAGCCGAGCACCATTCTCTACAGCCTCACCCACCCTGGGCAGGAGAGTCCCACGGATCCCACGGGAGCAGCCCGGCTGCTCCAGCAGTCAGAAGGGGGCTTCCCTTGGGTCCCTGCAGCATCCCCTTCCCGCAGGAGAGGCACAGCTCCCTGGGTGGAGGCGGAGGGCCCCGCTCTGTGCTTGTCCCGCATCCCTTGCTGATCCGAGCCAGGGTGGTGCTAACTCCCTGTTTTCTCTGTCTGTGCCCTGCAGATGTATCCGAGGGCTCAGTTCCCAATGGAGATTCCCAGAGCAGCGTGGACAGTTTGCGGAAGCACCTTCGTGGCGACACTTTCACCCAGCAGCAGCTGGAAGCTTTAGATCGAGTTTTTGAGCGTCCTTCTTACCCTGACGTCTTTCAAACATCAGAGCACATCAAATCTGAGCAGGTGAGGGCCCGGCCTGGTAACGGGGACCCACAGGCACCCATAGGATGATGGCAGGGAGATTCCCTCACCGAAATCACTCTCCCCCTCTTCACCCCTTGTTCTCACACTGACCTGTTATTGCACATACATCACTTTTACATTTTACAGCACTTTCTAATTGTAATATATCACTGTGCTGATGCATGTGTATACGCGAGCTTTACCTCCTCTCGTGAACTTGTTGTATACACGCACACTGTGCTCTCCCTAAATCCCCATGTCCGCCTTTCCCTCTGCACACACACCTGCAGGTATGCAGGCATGGTCTTGCTATGAACACGCAAACACTGCCATGCATGTTCACCGGCACACAGTACTGCACGGAAACTCCTACACTCCCAGATCACGCCGGTGACCAGCGAGCCACAGGCTCGGGCTTTAACAGAGCATTTTCCTTCATGGCCCAAAGCTGAGACTTCACTCCCATCTCCAACCTAGTTTTCCGCACTTCTGCAGCTCTGCCCCCCCTTTCCCTTACTCCCCCGGCCTTTTATCCCAAAAGCTGTTTGTCTTAATAAAATGAAAATCAAAAGTCTTTTTAAACCGCCCCAAGCCATAAACCAACAAAGGAAGAGAAGGAGAGGCTGGCTGTGGACTCCCTTCATCCCAGAGTCCCTGGGTTTATTACAATGAATAACCTTTATTTACTTTCATTAGACTATTAAGCACCAGCACAGTCATTTTTCCCCCTGAAACTCTGAGCAGGGCCCATAAAGCAAATCCGAAGCCTAATTGAGTTCATTTTAATTTCTCTCCGATCACAGCGAATTACTCTGGTGATAAATCAGGGGGCAGGCTCACCCCCAGTAGAAGGCCTAATTTGCAGCTAATTACAAAACTGATTTCTACAGGAAGATCAATACGAGAAGGAATTGGAAATGACTAGGCAGTCCTAGCCAAGCAGGGACAGGGGCGGGGAGGGGGCAGCGTGCGGGGAGCCCACTGGAGGAGGGGGAGATGTGGGGAGGGGGTTGGGGAAAAACATGGAAAAAAACGGAGCAGAAAGAGCAGAAAATCAGTTTTAATTTAACGTAATATTAATCAGAGCAACTTTTCCTGCTGTTTTGTAGCCTTCCCGGTTTCTCCAGCTCCCGCGTCTGGTCCGGAGGCTGCCACAATAAAAAGGCAATTACCAGAGCCTTTCGGACAGGACACCCTTTCAGATTCAATGGCTCTCTCCCTCCCACCCTTCTGTTAGCCATGTGGCTCCCCCCTCCCCAATTTCATACCCCAATGCACAGAGTGACAGAGGCAGGGGATGAGGCTTCTTTGTTTGTTTTTAAAGAGCTAGGACAGAGGTAACAGCAGAGGGGAGGCAGACGACTCAGCAGAGAGCCTGGCTACAGTGGGCCAAACACTGTCTGCTTCCTACAGCCCACCGGTCCCAGTCATGTCATTGCAGTCCTCTGCCCCAGCTGTCCTTGTCACCAGGGCAAACACCTCCCGCCTCCGTTCAGCCAAGAGGAGGGGATGTGGATTTCCCCTCTCTTCTCCCCGGGGCTGGCACAGGCAGCCATCCCCGTCCCCACAGCACTGAACGAAGGCTCAGTCATACCACAGATAACAGGCCGGATCCCGTGCCTGGCCTCACCCCTCTTCCCCTTCACAGCGGCACACAGGAGGGTGGGAGAGCTCATCCTAGGAACCCCCCCCCGCAACCCTCTTGTCACTTCATCTTCTCCGTTTCCTCCTCCTCCTCCTCTTCCATCTGTGCAGGGGTTTGCATCTCTCCTCTTCCTCCCCCCCATCTGTACACCCTTCCCTTTCTCCCAGCGTATCAATAGCGAGCTGTCTTTCTCCTCTCTTCCCCAGGGTAATGAGTACTCCCTCCCAGCTCTGACCCCTGGTCTCGATGAAGTCAAATCAAGTCTATCCACCTCTGCTAACCCAGACCTGGGGACAAATGTGTCAGGACCCCAGACGTACCCTGTGGTGACCGGTAAGCTGCCTGACCAAACAGCAGAACCAAGCTTTTTATTTATTTCCCTCATCACCATTAGCTTCTGCTTTTTCTGCTAATGCAAGATACCCCTCTGTGGCAAACATGGAAAGAGACAGAAAGACTGTGGAGGATGTAAGGGCTCAAGAGAAGCTTGAAATTCAGAGTATTGGCGGGTTTGGGTACACCTAGAGGTGCCCAGGTGTGACTCAAAGACAGGAAACCCAGGCGTAAATCAGGAACTTGTGTGCCCAGATGGGGCTTAGGGATGGATGTTGGTGGAGGACAGGTATGTCCAAATACGCACTGTGATTTTTTTCCTTTGTGTCTGAGAACAAGAGGGTCATGGCTTACCCATGATCTGCACTTGGTTATCTTGGGGAGAAATAATAATTTAAGTTTTATTCAGCCCTGGCATTTGGAAGGGGCATTTGCAAACTAAATACTGAGGTCTGTTGAACTGTGACTGCTAAACTCCTTCCTCCTTAAGCCCATGAGTCTCTAACAGCAGCTGGCAAAAGAAATTTCTTCACAGCATTCCCCTTTCCCTCACATGTGGGCACATTAAACTCAGGTGTGACTGGGAGAGTAGGAGATGAAAGCAAGTGCAAGACAGTAGAGGAATCGCGATGCACAGAAGTGGGAGGCAATTTCTGCAGCAGCTGCTCCACAGAAACTTCCTCTTCGCTGGTGGCATGTGCAGGACCTGAGTGGTACAGGGTTGTCCTGGGGCCGTGGGGCACGCCATCCTGATACTAGTGTTAGCCTGCCTGCCCTGTGCAAGTCTAGAGCCATAAGGAGATATTCTGGTGCCACAGCCCTTCTTCTCAGGCTTTAGTTGCCACTGTTCCCTGCTCACACAGCTACCATAGATTTGCACATCTCCTCCTGGGTAGCTAGAGCAGCTGACAAGGCCCAAGTGACTCACCCCAGTTTGGTATATCCCCCTTGCCCTACAACTGCTGTGGCCCCTCTAGAAACCTCGCGGTGTAAGCTGAGAAATAACTCATGACAAAGAGGTCTAAGTGCTGTTAGCAAGGGAAGGAGCTGTTGCCTCTTGGCCAAAAAGCTGTCCTCTGATGGCATAGAATCAAGAGCACTGGAGTTTGTATCTCAACTTTTTCTTGCAGAACCCCTGGCTAATAGCCCCTGAGGTCAAAGCAGCTCATGGCTGAGGCAGGCAATCGTTGCTTGTTCAGCAAACACTGAGCAAAGGCATATTATTACATGCAACTTTTGGCTACCACAGCTTTGGGACCGGGCAGGATTAGTAACAGTTACCCCAAATACAGAGGAGATCCAATGTGAGGTCTGCAAAATGTCATGGAGAACCATGGGGATGCAAACCGCATATTTAGGGAGTGTCTAGAAAGTGTGACATCCCCAGACTTTTTTCATGGCTTTTACTGCTATCAGGCTTGATCCAGGATCCTTGTAGCCATGCAGCTTCTTAGCCAACCAGAAAAAAATGGCTCAGCTGTGGCAAAACTGTTCCATCTTTCTTTGTATTTGCATATGCAAGACAAAACTCAGCTGGTGTCCATCTACCACTTAGCAGATCCACATCTCTTACAGGAAATACTTTCCTGTCTTTGGGGGGCAAAGCCAGGAGGAGAGCAGTACTGTCCTTCCTTCATGGAAGGCTGATCCCCATAGCTAGATGTAAAGGTGAGGTGCCTAAAATCGGAGTTTAAGATTCAAAGGGGCCATTAAAATAATTCTTTTTAGTCCTTCTGCCTAAGTGAAGATGTTGAATTCCAGCCCGTTAACATGAGAGCAGAATTTCTGAAGGCTGGGGACACTGCACAAGCTTTGGACACGACTCTCACAAGGGGACAGCAGGAGACAGATTTGGCCTCACAGAAGAGGCTGTGGACTGAGGCAGAAAAACTTCCTCATATCCCCCAGCCCTGTGCCATCCCCACTCTGTTCCCTGCAACACTCCCAGCTCAGCTCGAGAACATCCCCATCTGATCCATCTGGATCCAAGAGTGAGAAAAGTTCATTTCAGACCCAGCTTGACATTCCCAGGTGGCAACTTAGCACTAACATCTCAATCTGTATGCGACATTTCAATCAGCGCAGAGTAACAAAAGCAGAACTATTAGCGTTGGGAGCTGTTCACTGGTGGTAATGATGGGGAAACTAAGAAACTGGAAATGAAAGGGGAAAAAAACCCCTCAACACCCTGAAAGGCAGCAGGGGAAGAGGGGTGGAGAATTTTTCCTCTACACTTAGGCCAGGATCCAATGTTTGGATTAATGGTGCCATTACCCAAGAAAGGACTTCAGATAATGCTCATTCTTAAAATGTTTTTGCTGGCAATTAAATGGTTGCAGTTATTGATCTTCATTGATCTGATGTCCTCAATTTGCATAATCTATTAAAGATGAATGATTCATGATATGTTTGCTATGGGGCTGGGCAATGCTTTCAGGAAGGATCAGAGAGGTGAGGAACTCAGTGCTGCCTCCTGATCTACCCCGGCCAGGAAATTAAGGAAGAGGCTGGGAGCATGCAGATTTCTTTGGTATCACCCAGATCCCTCTCCCAAGAAGGGATATTGGAGTAACAGCGAGTACTGAATTTCTGGCTGCCTGTTTTGCTGCTATAGTGTCATCTTTGAAACCCTTCTTCGCTCTTGGCCCAGGGCAGTCTGTGAACCCAGCTGATGTTTGAAACAAATGTGAAACAAATCCACCCATGCAGGCTACAAACTCTGTGTGCAGTCACATCAGGATGTAAGATTTAGCTTCAGTCTACAAGAAAGTCTCCCCAGCTCAGTCTTCCCAGACAGAAAAAAGTATCACTAGCTCTTTCCAAACCAAAGCTGTCTGGCATTGGACTCCTGCCCTTTCTGAAGACTTCGGAGAAAGTCCTTCTCTCTCTGGCTCATGACTAGCTTTCCTCAGCAAGCTCTCTCAGCTCACACCATTCTGAGAATACACCCCTCCAAAAGCCATCAGAACCTCAACAATATGTAACGACCTAAAATCTTGGAATGTAGTGAGATAGTTAAGTACGGATGTTGCTGAAGTTCCTTTATCTGCCTGTGAGCTTCCTAGAATTGAAGAGCTAGAAATGCTGCGAAACAGGCAGCCACCTCCCCAACATGCAGGAAGGCCTTCCCCAAAGTCCTGGGCATCTCTTCAAAGACACAGCCTAGCGCCACAGTTACATACAGCGCAGCCTTGCCTACTACTGCCAATATCAAGCACTGCCTTTCAGACAATTATTCTATCTAATGCATCTTAGGTGGTCCATTTATTACTCACATCTCCTAAAGCAAGTAGACAAGAACATTTGTTTACTATGGAGCAGACAGGTCACCCTTATTTCTCCCCATTAAGTACCTGCAAGGAATTTCTATGAATGAGCTGACACTTAGGGGCTAGCTGGGCACTAGGCTAGGAAACATGCTCCTGCTGCCCTTCATACAGAACAGACAATGTAGATATTTTCAACTTCCTTATGAAGTATCAGAGAGAGAAAGCTCTTAAGAGCTGCCTGAGAACAGCACCTCACCTCTTCCTTCACACACAGGCCAGTGGGCCAGCCACATCTTGCCTCGATGTTGCATGGCCATCATAGCTAGATTGGCGTAGATCCCTGACAGTTTCTTGGACAGTATCTTTGGACACCAATCAGATTTCCTAGAAGCAAAGATCCAAGCTTGAACATACCAAGATAAAGCGAGTACATGCAGTTGAACACCAAGACAAGAATTCTGTTGTTCAGAGATGTTCTACTTCAATTTTTTCTATTGAAGGCAAACAGCCTAGGCAGATGAGTATAAACTGGTACAGGGCTACGTAAACATAGAAAACCTCAATAGCTTTCTTTTATTCAGTAGTTTCTGCAGGTCTCTGATTTTCAGAGGTACTCAGTAGCTAACACCCAAGAGGTGAGCGGAGGAGAACCTCCAGATTTTGGCACTAGCAACAGGAGTAGTTTAAAAGCACAAGGTTGTTCACAGAAGCCTTGAATCCTTTGAGAACAATGGTTAAGATCCTTCTTCAAGTGACATCAGAAGTCATATCTTTTGGAATGGGCGTGCATGAAGGAAGTGCTGTGTCTTCAAACCAGGTTCTGAGTTCTGGGGACTTAGATTAATAGTTTGGGAGCAGAGTCCTTTCCAACCCAATTATCTAGCCCAGAAGTTACCCAACAGAGAGGCAGCACTATGGGAAATAAAACACAATGGACTCTTCATGTATGGCTTGAAACTTGTTTATTAACAGACTACTAAAGGGGAGGATTTACCTACTAGATGGATCGTAAAATTACAGCAAAGGTAAAGAAAAACTTCCCTTAATTGAATCCCAGCAGTTTTAACTAAATAGACCTTGTTTGCCAGCCCACTACAATCAGTGAGATCTACAAAGAAAAGTAAAGGTAAAAGACAAGCCCAAGAAAAATGGGGCAAAAAAAGCACTTCAGCAACTTCTACCGTTGACTGAAATGGGAGTACGTGTCCCCTTCTCTTCCTGTGAGGAGGTTTCTGAGTGCTTCTCTGCTATGGTTAGCACCTATTAACAGGAATAGGTAACTTTTAAAACCATCATCACCCACCAGAACCAGCTACCAGGTCCTGTGTAGAAAATGTTTCCTTCTCTCTGGGAAATAAATTTTTCCCTAAAGCAACAAATATCATGCAGGGTGAGAAATCCTGACAACAACTCACAATGTGTCAAACAAAGGCACCAAAAAAGCACGAACCCCACTGATCTCACTTTACTCCAGACCTCCCCTCTCTGGCACGGGGTTGGATTTTTTTTCAGTTTAAGTTAATTTTTTAAATTCATACCTGAATGTAATAAAAAAAATTATAATTACTGACATTAAGGCTACTTGCTATGTCTGAAAGACATACAAAAGTAGTACTTAAACAGCATCTGATTTCTACGAAAGTTTTCAAGAAAGCTGTGATACTAGGCATGGAGAAATCACTGGCTAGGCACCTGGATCCAAAGTTTTTCTGAAATGATAAACAATCTTTT